CTATACTATAAACATTATCCAACTGTTACTGAGGGGGGGCAGTACCCAACCTGAACCCTATAAACCCTATAAACCCTGAAACCTAAACCCTGAACCCTAAACCCTAAACCCTAAATCCCTAAATCACTAAATCCCTAAATCCCTAAACCCCTAAATCCCTAAACCCTAAACCCTAAACCCTGAATCCCTAAGCCCTAAACCCCTAAACCCTACAGCATGCATTGACCCTTTCTTTGTCAGACTAAAGAGCCGGAGTACTACCCAGACCCCTGGGAGGATCTAAAAAGTTAGATCCCCTATATAGACCCATTATAACCCCTATATGGTAGTTTCCCAAAATAAGGGGACCTCAATATAGACCCCAAAATACGATAATCCTTATTATAGGGACCCCCAAAATGGTACCCATACTGTTGGGAAAGCCCTATATAATCCTTATATAATTTCCCATAAGGTTCTAGGGGATCTAATTTTTAGATCCCTTCGGGGGTCTGGGTACTGACAAGTCCCACTGTGCCCGCCCAGGCATGACGCGACCATAGAACCTTAAACCCTCAAACCCAACCAACCTAAGTTCTAACTGAACCCCAAAAGGATGTAGAATAATGGCCTTTTGGGCTATATTCAGGGGTTTTGGGCCATTATTTTACCTACTTTTGGGGTCCAGGTAAGCCTTGAACCACAGACCCTAAACAGAACATGACAAAGCTTTGCACGACCTGCAGATGTTGAGCTGTTCTAGAGCTGTCTTGGGGATCCGCAGGATACCTCGGGCTTGTAGTTGCAATAGGATTTGGAGAAGGGTCCCTCTAGGAAGTCTACGGGGATTACCTGCACAAGCCGCCCATGCATCTTGCGGGGCAGTGGGCATGCCTTACTGGTTCTTAGTAAGGAATATAATGAGGTTATTGGGGGTTATAATCCCTTATTCCCCATTAATCCCCAGTATATACCCTCTTCTAATATAGTAGTTTCCATGCTCTTTTCCATTATTCGTACATTACCCTGATATTCTCAGATTTTATACTCCCTACTTGGAGGGTCGGTGGGACTTAGTAAGTAGGTTATTGACCCCTATAACCCATATAGTAACCCTGTTTATCCCACTTATTAACCTACTTACTAAGTATTCCTGACCCTCCAAGTACAACCCCCTCCCCTAAATAGGGATTATAATAGGGATCCGATTATTTAGGCCCTTAAAAAGAGGGGGGTTGATTAATCATGGGTCTACATTAGTAAGAATCAGCAAGCTGCAAGCTCTGCCGGGTGAGTTTCTGCTCAAGAAGGGGCTCTCAAAGAGCATCCCTGCCTCCCCGAGCGGCCAAAAATCTTCAGGGTTTAGGGTGTAGGGTTTTGGGTTTATGGTTTAGGGATTTAGGGTTTTGGGTTTATGGTTTAGGGATTTAGGGATTTAGGGTTTTGGGTTTATGGTTTAGGGTGTAGGGTTTAGGATTTTAGGGTTTAGGGTTTAGGATTTAGGATTTAGGGTTTAGAGAGAACAAATAGCAGTGCTTGAAAGCTCAAAGGTTCCATGCTGAGATTTAAATCCTGAACGCATATGAAAACTATCCACCCATGAAATGCTATAGGAACCCTAAACCCTATATGAACCCCATGAATTCCTCGTACAAACCCATCTCAGGGCTCCAAGTTTATGCATGCAATGCCGTACATCTGCGGAACATCCCGCACCCCAAGGCCACTGGAAATTTATGCCAAAGCCCTGCCAGAGGAAGCTGACGTCACTCGACAGGTTTCTCACCAGGGTTTGGGTTTAGGGTTTCTGTTTCCCAAAATTCGGGTACCTACCATAATGTAGAATCAAATGGACAAGAAAATTGAAAATGAAATGGAAACTGGGATTATATAGGGGATTGTAGGGATTAAGGCTCCCAGAATTAGGGTTCCATTTTTGGAGGTCCCTATAAGAAGGAGTGTAGTTATTAGGGTCTATACTGGGGTCCCCCTTTGCTGGGAAACTATTAGTTGAAGCTCAAACCCTAGACCCTGCAAACCCGAAAGCCTACCCAATGGCTCCTATCTGGTTCCCTCTTTGGGTGTTATACTTTAATCTCCTACGACAAAGCCATACCAAACCCAACAGGAATTACATAGGAGCCCTTGGGCAAATCCTTTGGTACTACAGGGTTAGGGTTTAGGGTTTAGGATACGAACAATCCTGCATGACCTGAATGCACTACAGTACCATGATTCCCAAGGTATAGGCGAGTTAGTATCGTGCCGGATTTTTCGTATCCACTGTATCCATGCCAGGATTTCCAAACTGGACTTCCACAGCTGCAGCTATTTGGTAGTTTCCCTAAGTAGGGGGACCCCAATGTAGACCCTAATATACTATTATCCTTATTATAGGGACCCCCCAAAAAGGTACCCCTAATTTTGGGAAACCCTAAACCCTATAATCCCCTATATATATATATTCAGTTTCCATTTCATTTTCCATTTTCTTTTCAATTTGATTCTCCATTATAGTAACTATAGGTACCCCTAATTTTGAGAAACCTCCACCCTAAACCCTAAACCCTAAACCCCCCTAATTTTGGGAAACCTTCATGTAGGGCATTTTTCCTTGCAGCTCAGGCCACTCCCGTCAGCTTCCCCATGTACACGGTTTCAGTGGACGTACCTTGGTAACCTAGTAGTACCTGAACCCCCAGGTACTCCTTTCGGGGTCAGGGTTGAGGGATTCGGGTCTAGGGTTTAGGGATTTGGGTTTAAGGTTTATAGGGATTAGGGTTACTGGGGAACCTAGGTACTGTTAAAGATGACGAAGATCGAGCCTCATGAGCTCTTGAAGGCACGGACCGTTGGGTGCGGGGGATCAATCCTTGGAAAGATCCAAGTGCTGCTGTTTTGCCCATGAACAGTACACGCACCATGACCTTCCATCTCCCCTTCATTATGCCCTAAATACCCACCATTCAGGACCATGTACGCCTATTTGATGGTACAAGCAGAGTCTTGGTACTTAGCAGTATCACACAAAACAGCTTCGCTCTTGGTAAGTTCTTCAAGCTTGCGACTTGCGAAAACTCAAGGCCCTGCTCCTCTGCCATAGGATAAGGTCTAGGCATTTGGGGTCTAGGCTATAGGGTTTTGGATTTAGGCTGTAGGGTCTAGGGATTAAGGTTTGGGTTTTGGCTTGGGTCCCCAGCTGCTTGCTGAAGGAAGATGGCGAAACCATGGCCGAGGGAAATCTTGGTCGGGATTCTGCAAACGCACTGACGCAAACCCCAAAGCCAGAAGGTCCATGTGTCCCATAGATAAGTAGCCTCGAGATTTGGGCACTAGCACTTGTAGTACAGGTTTTGGGCAGGTATATCACTACTGGGTATGGACCTTTAGGGCTAGTCACAAGTGTCCATGTGTCAAGCCCTCGAGTCGTATCGTTGGTTGTTAGTAGGGAATGGACAAAACGGATCCCTGTAGAGGCCCCTAATGTAGACCCCTTTTTAATAAACCGCCTCCCCTTGATAGGGATAATTCTAGGGATCCTAACATTTACGCCCTTAAAAGGAGGGGTTTATTAATCATGGGTCTAATCATGGGTCTGCATTGTGATCCGCCACATTACATGTAGTAGTTTCAATTTGCTTTTCCATGGCTTCATCTCCTAAACCCTAAAAACTCTATAGATAGTAGTTTGCATGTTCTTGGCTCCATAGCCTTTACTAAGAACTACTACGTGGACCCCCCAAAGTAGGTAAAATAATCGCCCAAACAAAAATGGCCCGAAGGACCATTATGTTAGAAATTTGTGGGTTTCAGGCAGGGCTGTATTCAGAGTTGGGGCCCTTCGTGGCTAGCCGCAATGAACACGCTGTGAAATTTCTTTCCCAAGATCGAGATGTCACATTAAGCCACACACGCCAGTGCTCGTCAAGAAGTCCTGCTTGCTCAGCTTCGCACCCTCAACCCTAAATAATATACTAGTTTCCACTTTCTTTGCCATTCTATATGCCTTACACATCCCCTACACAACCGCTTTAAAGGGTCCCATAGTAAGACCCAGCCCTAAAACAGGCTCGCGGGGACCTGGTCATCTTCGATGGCGGCATTGGCATTGCGGCCTTCGTTTCGCACCAGTGGCTGTTCAAGAACCACCCCGACCCCGACCTCAGGCAGATGCGCGTCCTACACGGGGCGTTACGGGAGCTTCTGACTTCCCGCGGCGGCTCAGTGCCGCTGGACATCATGACCGAAGGGTCGGTGCCAAATGCCAAGCCACTTCCCATGAAGGAGTTTCAGGCGAAGCCTTTGTTCTTATGGTATGATTACTTCTCTGTTCCCCAGCTGGAAGAGCGGAAGTCCTACACCACAGATGAGAGGGATGGCTCCCAGCAGGCCAGAGCCATCAATAGCATCCCTAGCTATGTGGCAAGGTGGGACTTTCTCAAAAAAGTCCTTGTCTATGATCACTAAAGCACTCCATGACCCTCCTTTTATCCCTATACAATGTGCCCTTACTGCCCGAATTCCTCTCCAAAGCTCCCACAGGTGTCGCTTCTTCCTGGCTCTTTGTCCTGTGCTGGACTGCCCCTCTGAGGCCAAGGTGCTTTCTGCTGCGACGTGGAGCCGACGCGGATGGTGCCGAGTAGAAAGGGCTGCGCGTGAGCTCTCTCGCGACAGCTCCTGGATTTTGATCCAGAGTGAAACCTCCATGGAGGTCGTCGGCACAGCGATTTCTTTCGGCAGCGGATGCGTTGGGGAAGGCGAGTTCACAGTTCCAGAAGATCGCCAGAAGTTAGCGCCAGTGATGCGCAGCATAGTGCAGCAAAAGCTGAGGCACTGTTTGCAATCGGGCGACCTGCCAGCATTCAGAAGACACTTCAACCTCCAGAGTGTGCATCTTCGAGGCTTGGAGATTGATCCCATTGTCCTGTTGCCTGACAGCCGCACGGACTCCACGACCAACTTCCTGCTGCAGAATGGCCTCAAGCAGCGCAGTCGAGCAGATCGTGCAGGGTGGTCCCCGGTGCACTACGCGGCACTGGCCGGTGACACCGAGGTGCTCCGCAACCTGCTAGACAAGAAGGCCAAGGTTAACGTACGCACACCGAAGGATGAGCCTGCTTTGGGCTTTCCGCCCTGGATGTCAGCACTGGACCTGGCCCTCTTCTTCAAGCACCATGAGGCCGTCCGGCTGCTGCTGGCTGCCAAGGCCCATGTTCAGGGCGGGTTCTTAACGGCCATGAACTGGGCAGCCCAATCAGACAATGTTGAGGGCGTGCGAATGGTCTGCGCAGCAGGTGGTAGCCCCCTTGCCCCAAACCTGATCGGAACCACACCCATTGCCATTGCAGCTGGGATGGGGGCACAAGATGCACTGGATGAACTGGTGGAACAGGGCTGCCCGGATCGGCTACAGCTGTCCCAGGCGCTGCATGCTGCAGCAGGCCTGCGAGGTGGTTCTGCGCAGATGGTCCATCACCTCATCGGCCTTCGGGCTGATGTAGACTTCCAGTGGAGTGTCCCACGAGACCTAAGTCGAGTGGGCCGGCTTATCTTCAAAGTGAAGTCACTGCAGCACCAGTTCGGCCGACCTTCCCTTTTCACGGCCTTTGCTCACCACATGCATAGCAGCACAGCGCTGATGCAGGCATTTCGCACCAGTCAGCATGAAGCTGCCGCAGCCCTGATTGCAGCCGGTGCCAACTTGAATGTCCGAAATTCCCGCAACTGGATAGCAGCCGACTTTGCACACGGAGGGTCCATCCCAAGCTACGTCCAAAAGGGCCTGGCCGGAGACTTATCCGAGTGCCGCAGGGTGGCCTATCTGGCTCTTGCGGACGACCGCTGTCTGGTCTCCGTATCATTGTAGTCCTTTTGCAAATTTGCGTGTGGCTGTCGCAAATTTTGACGCTGTAAAGCATCTATGAGTAGGCTGCTTTGCGAACGGCTTCCATGGTGTGCAGAATCCTTGGAATGGGTGTATCTGAAATCACCTGGAAAGTTGCGATTTACCCTCCGCCGCAAGTTGGAGCCAGAGCTGGGTGCAACACGGACCCAACGCATCTCAGAGTAGTCTAGGTTGCTGTTAAGGAACCTAGAATAGCTTACCATATTATGCGTATATAGTAAATAACTAAAAACAGCAACCCAGTAGTTTGCTCTGCAAAGCTTTACCATGGTGTACAGTAGCCTTTAGATGGGTGTATCTGAAAACACATTTACCCTGCGCCGCAGTGGAGACGGGTGCAAACAGACCGATCATGTCAGGTTCTTGCAGTGTCTTTCAGGCGAAGACACGATCCAGCTGGCTGCGGGCGTTTGTTGCACGAAGTTGTTGGCTAGGGATCTGTAGTACAGTCAGTTGTAGTGTGACTGACATGAAAACGGTGCTGTATATGTTGTCTGAGGAAATGTGAAGAGACTGAACGGTTAACCCTGAGGGTCCAAGTGCCCAAGAATCATAGACATGCCCAAAATTTGTACTGCAAGTACTACAGTACTAGTACCCAAGTCCCAGGTACCCAGCTATTGGGCACACAGGGATAATCCTGAAAACGTACAGTAGCATTACAATGTCTATAAGCTCCCTACATGAACACAATGTCCATTTCATGGTCCCTAAACCTTAAACCCTAAACCCTAAACCCTAAACCTATTTTGCTTCTCCATCGTTGGGCTCATGGGCCTTCTGCATTCGACAGGAATTTCTTGTGCTTACATGGGAGTTGTGGAGTGGATCTCTGTAACAGTTTAGGAACCCTAGGAAGTATTTAACTATAGGCATTTCGCTTCTTTACAATGAGAACCCCTACCTCAATATTTGAATGCCTGGGTTTTAATGCTCCCTAGTCCCCCTAAACAGTCCCTAGCAATCCCCCTACAAGTAGACATACATGTATGCGTGGTAGTTTCCCGAAATGAGGGGACCCCAGGGTGGACCCCCAAATACTATAACCCTTCCGGGGATCCCCCAAAAAGGTACCTCTAATTTAGGGAAACCCCATATACACATATATCATATTATATATATACATATGTGTAAGCCAACCACCCAGCCCGGTAAGCACCAATCATCTGATTCTCGAGGTGCGACGTGAGGGCTTTACGGCGCTTAGCGTTTCATTTGCCAAGTTCTGGAAATAGAGCGCTTGGAATTCAGGGACATGCAGGGGTTCAAAGCGAATTCTGCTGGTCTTTATGATTGATTAGAAGATGCTCTTTGAGACATAAATAGGGTCATTTGATGCAATGAGTCTACATCTTATCAGGTAGACCCTGGCGTATGTTCGCAGACCGCGGATGAGCACGCACAAGAACAGGAAGCACAACGGTTTGGAACCAAAAGCTGGGCAGTGGTGGAAAAGAGGTCCGGCCTCTTGCTGTAATCCCCAAAAGCTGGGAGTTATCGTGATTGTGCAAGCTGAAGAGTTCAGGCTTTGATGATGTTTCATGTAGCAGCTTAGGTGAAGTATTCCGTTACAAATTCATATAGCGATAGTGGGACACGTTGAAAAATACTCCAATACATCTACTCATTCACCCTCCCACATTACCCAGTACATGGCTTAGGGATGATGTCAACGCCCTGTTGCCGCCAGCCATTGGGCCCGAAAACCGCCGGGCCCCCGCCCCCGATTTTAGGGTTTAGGGTTCAGGGTTTAGGGTAGGGTGTAGGTTCTAGGGTAGTTCAGGTTGGTTTAGGGCGTAGGGTTTGTCTCAAGGTTGGGGTCTCCTCTTTATCATGCCTAGAGACACAGTTTTCGCCATGACCTCAAGAAGACTTGGAAAAGTATCTCATGAAACCTGAAGCTGCCTGAGAATGCAGCTGTTCACCAAGCAAAGAAAGTATACTGTCCAGATACCGATCCCCAGAAGAGAGCTGCAACACACTGGGTTTAGGGTTCAGGCTGACCTCCCACAAAAGCATCCTCTTCTGACGAGTAAAATTCTCAGCGGGTAGACTTTACCCAATGCAGTCTCCATTGCTGCCATGGCGTTGCCAACCGAGTGTTCCTCCTGGTGGTAGACTTACTTTATAGGAAGGGCATGTTTGGAGTAGTGTGGGGTGTCAAGCTCCTCAGAAGTCAGCCAGGCTGTGCAGAGGTGGTATAGGGGACTTTTCCGTGAAGGACGCGGCAGCGGGGAATAGCTGGAAGGAGGAAGGGGAACATGGCAGTGGCATTTTCGGCTTCCTTGGTCATGCAGGCAGCTGAGGCGGAATTCCAAAAAGCCAAAACTGCAGCCACATGACACGCCAACAGATGTGGCCACCAATCATTAGAAAGTTAGCGTCGTCCTCAAGAGGAACCGGAATTTGGTTGTCTATTGTCTCCCCGTAAACCCAACCCCTTAACTCCTAAACCCCTAAACACTAAACCCCCAAACACTGAACCCTAGCCCAAAACCGCCACACCGTAAGCACTAAACCTCCACATGGAGAGCCTGGCTCGGCTTTCAGCCTTTGAATGCAAGAAGTTCCTTTCTGGGCCCTCCTATAGCCAGTACGCTTAATTCGGGATACATAGGGGTATGTAGGTGAAGGTTTACAGGTTAAGGGTCTAGGATATAGGGGAATTAAAAAGAAAATTCTAAATCACTATACACATTATTTAGGGTTACAGGGTCTAGTACCTTTATTCAGGGATATATCGGCCCGAATAGTGGATAGTTCGGCCCAGGAGGGTGCAGATTTACGGTCTGTGGATGAGGTAGGATGTTGAATTTTGATTGTTCGAGTGGATTTGGGGTTGCTTGGGCTTGTTAGTCAGGGTGCATATCGGGGTTTCCCAAATTTTGGGTACCATTATGGGGCCCCTATAATAAGGACTATAGTATGTTGGCGGTCTATATTATTGGGGTCCCTTATTTAGGAAAACTACCATGATTTTGTAGATTCTAGACCTCCTTCTTCGGGAACCCCATTAGTACCCTTTCCCTAATCCCGAAACCCTAAACACTTTTTCCCTTTTCATTATAGTGTCTCCTTGTTTCAGCTCAACGTTAAGAAAAGGGTATTCTCATTAAGGGGTTACTCGATTACTGGGAACCTAGTTATTGGCCTGAGACAAAAATGCCAGCAGGCAGCTGCGCGATCCGCGAGCAGGACCACCAAAGTCTCTTCTAATCCGCACATGTTGGCCTAGGATCCCGAATGATACCCCCAACAGAGACACTTGTGACCCTGCCCGTCAAACCCTTTAAACTCATATTTTATTTTTCCCTCAGCCAAAAAAACTAGGCCTCAAAGTGCCCTGCTGAAGCACTGGGATCCTACAGGCCTAGCATTCACAATACGTATCCTCATGGCCCCATGCACCCGCCAAACAGGCTAAGGGGTCCAAGCTTAGAGACAAAAACATCATCGCTCCGAAGGCACGCTGCTTGCTACAGGCGGTTTGCGGTTTCCCAGACCCGGACAAGGCGAAACTCTTGGAGTGTCTCAGGTCCTGTTACCTTTCTAGGGGTCCTTCTGAAGAGGCCTATCTTCTTTAGGGTATACAGGTGGACTCGAGGAGCAACCAGCCCCGTTCATTTCATGTGATTTGCCTGCCGCGTGAGGCCTCTGTTTTGAATCTTGCAGTTGGTCATCCTGTCGCGATGTGACGAGGCCTCAGACGAGAACCCTTACTGTGGATGGAGGAAACCCTGCATGTAGCATCCCTGAAATATTGTACTGATTGCCTACTGGCGGTCAGTAGGGAAGAAGGGAGTACATTATATAGGGTTACATAGGGATTATATTCCGTCATTCCCTACTAACC